ATATATATATATTACTTACATATCATTATTTAGTTGACTTGTAAGAAAAAAAAAACCTAAGAATTATTTTAAAACTTTTAATAAATGACTTATGCATATTAATTTATTAATAATGTTTAAATCTTTTGATGAATATTTTTGCACTTCTTTTTTCCTGAAATTTCATATCCCCTAATTGGAAAAAAGAAAAGGATAAAAGGAATTTAACAGAAACTATTCTAGTCTTCAAAATTGTTGGGAGGCCAATTGTATAATTTGCCACTCTATTCCGTTCAAACTTGTAAAGGCTGTAGAAAGATAAATAATAATAATAATAATAATAATAATATAGTAATTGAATTCTTTTCCGAGGAGGGAGAAGAAACAGTAAAAAGACAAGGCTGAACAATAAACTATTCTAGTCTTCAAAATGAGTAATGCTAGGAACACTCGCCATTTGCACTCTCCAACCAGCACTTCCATTTTCATTGGGCCACGTTATGTTGGTTTCGGAGAGATCATCATGCAAAATGGTAAGCTTACGTGGCCCAATAAAAAAGCATGTGTTATTTGGAGAGTGCATGAGGCGAGTGGCCCTAGCACTGCTCCATCAAAATTGTTTTTTTTTTTTTTGATAAATCATCAAAATTGTTGGGACGTCAACTGGTCAACTGGTCAACTGTACGCTTTTCTTATTTTCACTTTTTTTTTTTTTATTCACAAGGTAATAGTTAGGAAGATAATGGGTCAATTGTTAGCCATTAGTCCTCGTTCTTTAGTAAATATTTCATCCTCTTAAATAAGACGCGCCATCATCAAATCGCACAATGTAATAACGCGCCACCATCAAATCACATTATAATGAAGTTCACAACGATGCTGTAGTTCGACGTTCCGAACACCATCTCACCCAATCAACTAAGGTTTGGAGGCCAACTATTGGGCCACCAGTCCCGGTTCATTCTTATTCCCACCTTGAATCTTCTCTCTGGGTAGCATCTTATCTGTTCCCTGTACATATCTTTTAAATCTTCACAATTCACGGGCTTGCTCTTTCCCATGAGTCCGGAGGAGGATGAGCAGAAAGAGAAAGGTGAAACTGAAGGAGTAGTAGCTGAATTGCGTGTCAGAGTGGTAGATGGTTGTAGATGGCCTCCAGTGCTTAAGCCGCCTCCACCAATAGGGCTGCCAGTGATCGATGGAACATGCTCGACGTGGGACCTACTTAGAGATTTTGCACCTCAGGATTATATAAGTTCTGATGATGAGGAAGATGAACGAGGATGTGAAACAGAGGAAGCGGTTGTCGAAGAAATTTGCTTGAAGGCAGTGGAAGAGGAGACTGCAGTGTCATCTGAAACCTGTTCCTTTTATACTGCAACTGATGATGATTTTTCCGGAACCACAACCGAGCCCATGTCTCCCAAGAGCAGGTTCAAAAGGAATATGACTTGTTGGGAGAAAGGTGAGCTCCTGGGCAGTGGGTCCTTTGGATCCGTTTACGAAGGGATTTCTGGGTAAGTACTGATATGCTGCCTGTTCCATAAAGTTAAAACCTTTTTTTTTTTTTCCATATATGGTAGTTATTTCAGTTTAATTTCCATGAAACAATCAGCATTTTATCTATTAATTAGTTATTTACTTTACATGATTTTGTTGTTGTTGATATATGATCATGTTTAGTTGTCACTGTAAACTTTGTTATTGATACATGAAAGCATTTCAAAATTTCCGCTTAATTCCGCAGCACCATTGTTGCATACTTTGGGATGATATCTGGAACACTTTTTTTTGTTATTAATTAACTTATTTTTCTACAGTGATGGGTTCTTTTTTGCCTTAAAAGAAGTTTCATTGCTTGATCAAGGAAGTCAAGGAAGGCAGAGTATTTTCCAACTTGAGCAAGTGAGTAGTTGTTTGTTATGTTCTCCGAAAAATTTTCTGTTGCTGATATATTTGTAAATATATATTTTCTTGTGCTGATTTATTGTTCTTGAAATTTTCTTTCCAGGAGATTGGTCTATTAAGTCAGTTTGAACATGAAAACATTGTTCAGTATTATGGCACTGACAAGGTACGCATCTCCTGCTTTTAGATTTGGTAAAATTGGATTCAATGTGAAAATCTGATCCAATTCACTTGTTATGGGTAGGGTCATGAGTCTAAAATATTTTTTTAAAAAAAATTAAATACTACAAAGTATATGGCACTTTGGATCCGTGTATGAAATTGAACCTTGTACCATTTCTGATTAATAAAAAAGCTGATACTTACGGGCCATACCAGCCAAGACGAACAATATCAACTTCTTTGTTTTAAATATAAGATAAAATTAAATACTACAAAGTAGTGATTATTTATTAAATTGTTAGTGTTAATATTAATGTGGGAAAAGTTAATGCTGTTTATTCCATTTGAAACTTCTGTGAAATGAGCTGTAAAGAATTGTCAACAAGGTACCTAGTACATAAGGCCTTCTGCTCTATTGATGGTTCATGTGTTACCAAAGTCATTGATCTTATGTTTACGTTAGAACTTTTTATCCCAAACTTATTAGAATTTCTCATAGGATACAAGATCATAAAAATTAGACTGCCAATA